AGAGCCCCCTTCGCAAATGGGTGAAATCAATATTTGCAGTCATTCGGTGTATGTCTTGTTACATAGACCTTTTACCAATTTCGTTGTCAGCATTTGCGTACGTTCTAGATCCTTCCTGTCGCGGTTTAACCATGGATTCCATACTTGAACGGCGTACTCCATGTGTGGCCGAACGAACGCTGATAACAAGCGTGGGAACAGTGCTCTTTCGAACTGCCTGAAAACACGTCTGGGTAGTCCAATTTGCTTTAGAGCCATAGATGATGCTCTAGCACAGTGCGTGGAACATCATACATTTTCCTATACCATAACTCCCAAATCCCTTTCATCAGTGGCATGCGGTAGTATTTAGTTCCCCAAAACGTATGAGAAACGAGTCTTATGCCGCATGGAAATAACTCTGCATTTGGAAACGTTGAACTCGATGTCATGGGCGATTAACCTTCGGTAGGGCGCATTGATCGTTTGTTGGAGTGCTATATAATCCTCTGGATGTGTAACGGTTCTCCAGATCTTAACGTCGTCCGCAAATAGCAGTGTATTAGGTCCAACAACATGTGGCAGGTCGTTTATAAATACAAGAAAGAGACGAGGCCCCAGTAGGCATCCTTGAGGAACCCCCCGGGTAGCGGTGATAGGCTCTGATAATGAATCACCAACGCGAACTGGTTCTTTGTCGAAGAAACTCCTTAATCCAGTTGCAGAACCAAACCTCTTACTCCGTAGTTGTAGAGTTTTCGCAGTATACTTTGGTGGTTTTCTCGATCAAATGCCTTGGAGAAGTCCAAATAAACTATATCCAATGGCTGGCCTGCATCGACGGATTTTGTCCACTCATCCCGTGCAAGGAGTGGGTTTGTGGTGCACGAACGCTTGTGCCGAAATCCGTGCTGAATTGGAGACAAAATTTTATGCTTTTCCAGATATTCCATTAACAGATCTGCCACAATAGCCTACATGACTTTCGACAATATCGGAAGAAATGTGACAGGGCGGTAGTTGGCTGGATTACTGTGAGATACCCCTTTGTAAACGTAATGAACAAATGACCAAGGCATCCCCTCGAGAATCCTTAACGTTACATTTGCAGCCATCGATATAAGACGACATTAGGTTATTCGCTATGAATGGTAACGAAATTAGCATTCATAAATAACTTTTAAAAACGCCAAACTCAGGTTGCCTCNCCCCCCCCCCACCGCCTCTGCCTGACACTTCAACTCGTTCATGCGATCTAAAGCCAATTCTGAATCTTTCACCATAATATGTTATAGCACGGGAGCGTTCACTCCATTCCCTATGAATCATAGCTACCCGTCGTAACGTTGTTGAAACAAATAAATAGTTTGCATTATTTTCACTCACCTGTAAATAGATCAGAAAAATTAAGGGCATCAACAAAGTTCTGTTCTTGAATGGCCTCTTTACAGTAAATTTAAGAGTGCAACAGATAATTCCACATTGTATATATAGGTTTTTCTGAAAGCTGTATTTACATTACTTATCAGCCTAAATCTGCTTGGAAATCAGCGAGAATACATAAACAATTCTCACAAATGTGCGACCCTACTTGTGTTAGTAATCCATAAGATAGTGTCGGAACGAGAGTTATTCATCAGATAGGTGTAAATAAGGTGACATAGAAAGGAACATCTAATTTGCAACATTTGGTTAGTATTTTCATGATCGTCTCTTTATCTGTGGTCACCAGCCTGAAAGTCTATTAGTCTCTTCTGTACTTGCAAAGGTAAATCCTTTAATCTACTCACGGACCACGTGGGAATCCAACAACCGCTTCCTGGTTCGCGCAGACTAGTCACAAATGTGAGTGGTACCTCAGAACAATTGTAGAACAAACTTCCAGTAGACAGAATGAAACAAAGCTATTTCCGTATATTGTTTCGTTTGGAGACAATTTCACAAAATTAGTCCCCGTTATGACTTAATCCACGTTAAAGTTGATCTTCAAATATCCACCGAATCATTTAAACTTCGATTGGTTCTCCGAAATCCGTGACTCTCTTCTTCCAATCTATCGTGGTCATTCTAAGACAAGTCCTGATCTATTCTGCTTTCTTGATCGATTTGGGGTATTTTGCGTGAGCCGTAACGTAAAGATTGATGTTAAAACGGTACCCGTACTTGTTCACATATGAAGCCTATATTTCAACATGATAAGCAACTTAAAGCTTACTACTTGTCATTCTCCGATGAGAATTGCACCTAATTGTTTTTTGGCTACAATTGGTGGTCAATAATTATTAATTTATTAGAGCGAACTTCAACTAATGGATACACCCTTACGATTTCATATTACAGTATATGTTGGTTGCACTCATTACGTTCTATCTTTCGAAGAGAGAAACGGGAAACGACTAGTATTTCACTGTGATCCACAGCTGATCTGCTGCATTTTAACAATAATAGAGGCACATGTGACTAATGCTGTCAGCATAGAAATGAAATGGGAATTCAATTCTTTACTTCCCATAAATGCATTTGCCTTCTGTCCGTGTTGTCCAACCGTAGATTGTGTATTATTGATTACATAAACGGCTATGACAATAAGACACTTTACATCATGATTCATGGACGGAACAGTACAGCGAAGACCAGTTTGTTCTTGTTTCTTCGTCCAACAAGATTGATATTGTAACATGGATGTAAAAGCTTTCTTCGCCATCAAATTCACTACTGTAGTCGCTTATCAGTCGAAGCATCAGGTTGTTATTTAGTTCTAGTTTAATGATGAAGTTTTCAGTTTTTCTATCAAATAATCAAACACTACGTCAAGCAGGAGCCCTAACAAGAGCAGTAAAATAAACTAGAAATTAGAAGTAGAATCTTCCCTTGACGAATTTGAATGGAAAAGCCAAAAATACCGGGTTTACACGATGTACCCTAGAGTTGTTTGCCACATATTGCATTTTATTTGATCATTAATGGTCATAAATTACAGAATTGTAGGCCGAGAAAGATTACGATTGACATCAGTCAGAAAACACATTTTATACGAAGGTAGAACCAGTTTCACAGTTGATGATGGTAATCTTGAATGGCTAGTGCCTTGGCGTATTCCAGGAGCCTGGTATTATTTCTATTGTAGATGATTTTAGGTGCGTCTTTCATTAGTGTTGTGTGTTTGTGGATGAACTAAGTCTCTTACGGGTGATCAGTGATGTCATACTTTCAAAGTTTCCATTCACAGTTTTCTGAATCCGGACCGGGATTGGCCCGGTTACCCGATTACTTATTTGGCTCTCCGTTCCACCGGTGAATTAGACAGTCGATCGTGCACACTGTTTTCCTGTCTTTCTGTCCACTGCACAAATTTTCCTACTATAGACATCACTCACTTTCAGTTTCCTGATTGCCTCTTGAGACACCATTCTTAACCAGTGCTCCTGTTTATCGTTTTTTTTTCTGTAACTGATCATCCTCCATCTCTAATTTAAACCACCAACTGCCCATTTCAGGATACAAAGCTGAAATGACAGTCTCCTTCTACAACAAGTACTTTTCCCTTTTACAGGTCTCCACACACCATACTGATTATTGGTCTTACGCTTTTCTATCGAAGAACATCCAGACAATTCCAACATCAAATACACGATGTAAATCAAAAACTCTACAGGGACCTAACCCCTTGAGCGTGATCCAAGAATGTATTCACCGCTGTCAGTAACAACTTAGTTCCCTTATTCACTCTTACCTTCGAATCCACGGGCAACAGTAGTTGCGAAATTTTGCTCATTGAGTTTGACAAACTTGACTTGACATTACTTAAACTCTTCGGTACTACGTTCCATTTGGAGGTTTGAAGTCCGTTGTTGTATCACGGACCATAGCGAATTCACATATGACCGCGAATCGGGCCCGTTTTCCGGTCAGTTATGCCATGGGTGTAGCCTCTCCAGTGTTCCTTACGGCGGGCTTATCTGAACATATATGTTCGTTTGGTGGCTTCTTTTGGATTGCAAAACTGACAGGCAGTAAAGAGTAAGATTGCGAGGTTTACGGTTGCGTTTGTATTGCAACCGTGAAGGGATAAGTCTTAAAGCTTTTAAACGCCTAAGCCCATCCCGTTCAATTTAGATTCATGCTTTGAGATTCTGGGTTTATTGAGTCAGTGCATTTTCTTCGTCCAGTATCCGGTTCATCCCTCACCTCAGCTCCAGATGACCACTTCTGAGGCAATTTGTGCATCACCTGTAAATTACTAGTTTTAGACGACGTAAATGAGTTTTTCCGGTCATCTTTCCTAATGCTTCTTGCAAGATATGTTATTTTGGGTTATCCAGTTCTTCGAATAAAAAATACTGCTTTGATTCAATTACACCATTTGATATTCTCATGAACTGCGATCTTTAGTAGCATTCTGATTGACCACAGTACATTTTTCTAACATCCTAAAATTTGTCAAAACAAATCCAAATGCAAAATCCAGAACTTTGCTTATGATTGAAACAACAAACAAAGTTGTGCCCGGTAAATGGTTTTTAACGTCATAGGTACATCCAACCTTAGATTTGATTTCTTCAGTACCCTCAAGCTGTCACGTCCGTAAGCGAAAAATGCATCGTACTCAAATGCGAACTCCGGCCAATTCAGGGTTAAAAAAGCCTTTAAGGGTGAGTTGAAACAAGTCGCAAGATCATTTACAGTTCGAATGGACTCATGCGATCTCAAATTTTAACTGTTCATTTCTGATAAGAAGGGTACTTTAAACTGCTATGGACCGATCCCGCCCCCGTATCATCCAAATGCATCAGTCTAACTCCAAAAGGAAAAAAACGCAAAAAATGTAAAACAGAAACTCTCTTATGAATAGTTGTCAAATCAAACAATATTCATATTTACTATTCGGAGTGATTGTGCCAGTGATGTTGGATGTGGATGTGTGGATGTGTCTGTTGCAAAAAAAGTCAAAGGATCCACACCAACAGTTCGGCATTCTGATCTGGTTTGATAGTTCTCATTGGATCACGTCACTAAGTCTCTCATTGGAAACAGACTTCTCCAACCTGGACAGAACCGCCCACTGGGAGGATTGGATCCAAAGTGACCTCTCGGATGGGGAATCGGCTGGAAGGTCCGTTTACTTTGAACACAAGTTGGAATCCGTTTGAATCGGTCTGAAACAGGAGGAATTCCAAGGTTCAATAAATTCATCATGCAGCCGACAATAATGCAGGATGTGAGTACAGTCTATGGAATCAAGCTGAATAGACCGCTCAATGATCCACTCGATATAGCCAGTGAGAATTTCATAGTTTTTGATGATGCTAGATGCTGTCAATCCTGGAAGATATATTAACCTCGGAAACTATCACTAAGAGAAATTTGTTTGAGGCGTACTTGAGTAAATTTTCCGATTGTAGCAACCTATCCAATCACCATGAGTACGCTTGTCTTTTATTTAATTTTACATCTTTTCTACCACTAGGCAGTCTCAGGCTAGGAATTAATTCCCATGATAAAGGAACAATTAGGCTTGTCTGTCTTGGAGTCCAGACATTCCGAACCTACATTTTGTATGCATAGTTAAATTTCATGTGCAGGGGTTATCCGATAATTAGGTTGAAGGAATATGAAGTCACTACGGGGAGATTTTGGACAAAAGACAATCGCACGGAGAGCATGTTAAGAACCGGTTCTTTATAGTTTTTTCAACACTGCCACATAAACATCTAAATGCTTCCACCTAATATTTCCAAACACTACTGAAAATTCCCCACGTGTTTTTCTGGATCATTTCCGTTCGATATGGTTCATCCATTAGGGGTTAGAATATTCGAACTGTAAAGGAGACATCATTAACTAATTCTAGCAAAAATCATGAAGGTGAAACTGCCAGGGGATGAGCGGGAATAAAAAGTGACAATTTTGAACAACACAATTAACGTACCTGACATCGTTCTGGTTGAGCATTGTACCGTAAGTGTGGATGATTGCTGGTTAGGTCAACTCCATTGTCCGTGTGCAAAACAGAGCCATTCGCATTGTCCAATACTGCCAAATCAGGTAGGCAAGAGGAAGCTATTCTCTGACTTGCCGAAGAGCTGTGAACTTTCAGGAATGCCAGTTGACTACCTTCCACACCGTAGACAAACTGAAATGAGAATTGCGTGGAATTATAGAGAACAATGTGAATAACCGCCACGGAGAAGATCGCATGCACTGGTGTGTTGGCAAAGCAGAAAGTAGGTATGTATGGATAAAAAGCAGAAAGTATTATCATCACTAACCTCTTCGCTAAACACACTATCCGCATCCAATTCATCCACCTTAGCATCAGTCTGTTTCACTCGGATACATGTCTCACCAGTTTGGATACGGCAGAATACTTTCACTGCGTCAGTAATATCATGCCCGTTCGGATCAATCCAGTACTCAGCTGTCGAATAGTGTGGATAGATTGGGGGATGAAAGGATTGGAAAGTGTGGTTCCGTGAGATATATCCGTGGTAGTACAAAGATGTAAAAACCAAATTTAATGGAAGTATACTGATTGGAAATTTTCGATCTGACTACTTGGTCTATACGAATGTTTTGTTGCCTGGTGTGGAAACGCAAACATTATCACGTCAACTTTAAAAAAAGAAATACTCTCTGAGCATCCACTAAACTGTGGTAGTTGTGATGTCTGCTGCCTGAATGTATTAAGCTTATTATGAGAACCTGAACATTATTCAGCAATCTTGTGCATGCAAAGTACAGTATCAGGTTTGGATCAGTTGATGTCCTGAAAGTGGTTATGCCTCATATAACTTTTCCTGTACACTTTTCACAAGCAAGGCAAGCTGTGACAAAATGTACAAACATATCAGTCAAAATAACAAAATGCAACTCACAGTCCTTGAAGTCCGGATTAAGGCTTGCCAACTGTTTGCAAGTTACTGCCGGGGCTGTCTTTGTTCCTCGTGGACGCTGAACCGTTTCGGTGCCCATAATCTTATGAGCCAGTGGATCATCAGCATAAATTCCTTTGCCTTTGGTGCCTCGTCCAACCATGGGCNTGAACTGAATGCATACCGGGGGGACCAGGGGGACCTGGAGGACCCATAGGACCTGGAGGACCGGGAGCACCGTCACGTCCCATCGGGCCAACTGGACCCGGCAAACCAATATCTCCTCGTTGACCTTTCACACCCTTAAGTCCCGTTTCACCAATCGCTCCACTTTCACCCTGAGGTCCTGGATTACCAGGAGGACCAATTTCTCCAGGCTCACCACGAGCTCCATCCGGACCAGGTGGTCCAACAGGTCCTGGAGGTCCAGACCAACCAGGATGTCCCCGAGGCCCTGGACTACCGGGTGTTCCAGGAGCACCATCTTGACCATTTGTTCCATCAGGTCCAGGTGGTCCCTTGTCACCGGGTTCTCCAGGAGTACCAGGTTTTCCGGCCATTCCGCGTTGTCCTTGAGGTCCAGCACGTCCTGGTTGACCTGGGGGTCCAACCTCACCAACTGGACCGGTATCACCGGGCGGTCCACGGGGACCACGAAGACCATCAGAACCTGTTTCTCCGGGAGGTCCGATCAAACCTTCAGCACCTGGTGGACCATCCTCACCAGGTGGACCTTCTGGTCCTTCAGCACCTGCCAAACCTGGACTGCCTTTTGGACCACGAGGACCGATGGGACCTTCTGGACCTGTTGGACCAGCCGCACCTTGAGGACCACTAGGACCAGGGGGACCAGGAGGACCACGAGGACCTGGACCACCAGCAGTGCCACGCATACCCTATAAATTAGCAAAGAATCCAATCAGTTCAAAGCTTTGAAAATACTGAGTAATAGGCTGAAACAGTTCACGCTATTTCGTGCTTTTTTATGATCAGCTGATGCCCTAATATATAAATATATATAACAATGGGAAAAGTAAAGTTTTATTTTTCTATGAGAGCATTCGTACTATATAAAACAAATTAAATCTAAAATTTTTCGGTTTAATGTGATTAGGTTTGCTATAATAAGACACTTGAATAATTCAGTTGACTCAATAGATATGTAAATGTAACCAAGTAAATTCTAACAAAACAATCAAGGATAAAGCATTATCAGATGAGAAGCTTACCATAGCACCAGCTGCACCATCACGACCGGGAGCTCCTGGACTGCCATCATCGCCTGGTTCTCCAGGTGAACCTGGAATACCAGGGTCACCAGGATCGCCATCTTTACCAGGTGAACCAGGTGGGCCAATTGGTCCGGCCGTCCCAGGTTTGCCTTGTACACCAGCTTCACCTTGTGGACCGGGTAGACCAGCTTTTCCTGGAACTCCTTGTGGACCTTGTCGACCAGGCAATCCTTGAGGACCAGGAGGACCAACACTTCCTGGTGAACCAGCCAAACCCTGAACACCTGGAGGTCCTTGAGGACCAACTGGACCGGGGGTGCCGGCTGCACCAGGAACACCTGCACGCCCAGCGGCACCGGGATTACCAGCAGGACCGGGGGGTCCTGGAGGCCCACGTTTTCCAGCAGGACCCATTGGACCTGTAGGCCCAACTGGACCATCCTGACCATCCATACCCGGTATACCTGGTTCACCAGGACTGCCTTCATCACCCATGTCACCAGGAGGACCAAGAGCAACTGTTCGAGCTCGGCTGAGAATCTGAATGACACCGGGAGGACCGCGAGGACCACGAGCGCCTTGCGGACCTGGAACACCGTCCTGACCGGGAAGTCCATTCAAGCCAGAAATACCGCGATCACCTTTGAAACCCGGAAGACCATCTGGACCAGGTAGACCGGGAGCTCCGGGAATACCCTGTAACGCAAAAGTGAATATGATTGTATAGACGAATAATTTATACACTATGATAAAACCCAAACTCAGACAAAATATCTTACACTGTAAAGTACTTCGCCGTCGAAGCAATCATTTTCACTCATGCAATTATGACACCATAGAGATTGAAAACAAAGCGTCTATGGGACGACAAGCCCAATGTTTTGGCCTACAAACTATTGATGTGAACTTACCATAACACCCATTCGTCCTGGAATACCCATAGGTCCCAAGTTTCCTTTTTCACCCATTTCTCCGGGAACACCTGTCGGTCCTTGGGGACCGGCTGGACCAATAGGACCCTGAGGTCCATCCTGACCGGGGGCACCATCTTCACCATCCGGGGCATCTTTGCCTGGGGCACCGTCTTTGCCAGGATCACCAGGAGGACCAGAAGCTCCACGAATACCACGCTGTCCAGGAGGGCCAACGTTGCCTGCTGGACCCGGCATACCTTTGTCTCCGGTTGGGCCTTGTCGGCCTTGTGGTCCAGGTGCACCTGCATCACCGACCGCACCAACGTCTCCTTGAAAACCTTTAGGACCTTTGTCTCCCTTGATGCCCATGGCACCAGCCGGACCTGGCAAACCACGCTCTCCCTGAGGACCCTGTTAGAAGGAAAGAAATAATGTCCAAATCTCAGGTGAAACGAAAGTGAAGTATTTAGATCATGATGACATGAAGAGGCAAGTAGGATAACTTCATGGAAACTTACTTCGATAAAAATAAGTATTCGCGATATACTGTAATCTATAGTATAGTACACTCCTGAGAAGTACATTGATTCTGCAGATTGAAAGATTGAGAGTTGCTGGGGCCGAGATCTTGATCTTTCTACATCTTCCTATGTCTCCAATTACTCATAGAAGCCACTAACTGCAGTAAATTGTGCCACTAAATTAATTTTATAAACGTCCTCATTAAATGAACTTAAGAACCGTATTTTAAATTTCAGCTGGACTGTTATTTTGATATTTAGGAGTACACTACTCACAAGTAACAAACGTTAACACAAATATTTTCCCATGTAGCAATAGGCTTCTGGTCAACCACGATAAAACTTACAGGTTGACCCACAGCACCTTGAGCACCTGGTGGACCTGCTGCACCAACAATTCCGGGGTGACCGATCTGACCAGATTTTCCAGGGGAACCGCGAGGACCGGGTTGACCGAGATCACCCGGTGCACCATCTTTTCCGTTTTCACCGGGTGGTCCAGGAGGTCCAGCACGTCCGGGTTTTCCCATTGCACCTACTTGACCTGGTTCTCCACGAGGACCTGATCGACCTAGAGGACCGCTTTGGCCGGGAGGACCTGGCAATCCTGGTCGGCCATCCACGCCAGGACGACCAGGAGCACCAGGGGCACCCATTGCCCCAGCAGCTCCTTTTGGTCCAGGCATACCACGAGGTCCCATGATACCTTCTTTTCCAACGCTTCCAGGTGGTCCTACATTCAATTGAACAATTAAAAATCAGCCACAAATTAAAATTATCTACAGGCCTATTATTTTAATAATCGCAAAGAAACACTATTCATGTGACAAAGAAGATGTAGTTCTAAAGGAAGACATGACATAGGACAGTTTTCCGTAGGCATGTCTCCATGTTATTGGTTCATGTAGACCAAAGATGAGCATTCTGTCTGCTCGGCGAAGTCCTAAAGCTGTATAAAACTAAACAGAGAAGCAAAATGCATCAAATAATTTACCAGATCGATTCTTTGTTGGAGCCAAACAGACATGAAGAACGGTAGTCTTGATAGATAGCATCTGTTCATATAGTTAAGTGAAAAACCACAAAGATGAAGTCTGAAAGTGTTTATTATCCATGTCCTAACAAATGCGTCACAGGAGATAAAATGCTCTGAAAGACTATGGTTCCCTAAAACCTTACATCAGTCAGTCTTACCAGGTGGTCCTTGATGTCCAATGCCTCCGGGTTGACCAGCATTTCCAGGAAGACCACGATTTCCCGGGGGTCCCGGTTCACCTACTGCACCTTTGTTGCCTTGTTCGCCGGGAGCACCAGGGGCACCAGAGCTACCACGCGGACCAGGCATTCCTTCTGGTCCAAGGGGACCGCGGAATCCAGTATCACCTTTTTGCCCTTGTTTTCCATCTTGCCCTTCGGCACCCTGGACGAATAGAATAGAATAGAAGAATGGATTAAATGCAAAATAGGGATTACAATTTTCTCGCTCAAGTCCAGTTTGTGCAATGAAACAACTAACGGTTGAAGTAGTCAATAGCATTTCGCTTTCTGAGATCAGATACCAAGAAATGAAGCATAAATACAAATTAAAAAGATCTGGCTGCAAAAATTATTGAAAGTTAAAGTACTTCTATCATTCTCTTATTTCAAATCAGTATTCCAACTCATTGGGTCTTCTTTACTGTAAGAATATGATTTATTCAGTTCCTTGTAGCTCCATGCGAAAAAATAATGTGCACTATTTGATCCTAACATCGAAAGGATGAATCACAATTGAAGTAAACAAAACGAAAGTAGACAAAACCAATTCGTTACAGCAAAATTCACAAAAATGTCGGAGTGTTCTAAATTGTGGGATTCAAATAACACACGATAAGGATTTTTCTTATCCTTGTAAGGAATAACTATTACAGCATATGTACTGCGCTCGGACATGCAATATATCAATAACATCACACATTCCTACATGAATAGGTGGTTGAACACCTGTGTAATGTTTCGCTTAGACCCTAAAGACTACAATAAGGACTTTCTTAATGGGGAATGAACATCTATGAAGCGAATGTTTGGCTTTTTGGTAATAAGGGACACGTCAACATAAAATAAAATTAGTGCTATCATAAAAGGAATGAGGAGAATAACGGATCAAAACCAACCTGTGGACCTTGCTCTCCATCGGGACCTGGTGGGCCATCAGTACCTGGACGACCTGGATCTCCAACATTACCGGCCACACCGGGCTCACCGACACTACCGCGTTCACCTACTGGACCCGGATCACCGGGTTGACCGGGCATACCTTGTGGACCAGTTGGACCTTGTTGACCTGGTGGACCGTCTGCACCGGACGGACCGGTTTGACCTGGAGTTCCGGGTGGACCCATTGGACCGAGGTCACCACGAGGTCCGGGCCGACCGATTGGACCGGGCGGGCCGACATCTCCGCGAGCGCCCTTCGTATGAGAGGCAATGGGAATCGAGTTTGGTGAGTAGGACTGCTGTATATCATACTCAGAAACGACTTCGAATCTGAAGCATTACTGAAGTCAATGTACCCTTTAAAAATCAAACATCTGAGTGAGGAATTGTGCTATCACAGATACGACAGTTATTTAGATTTGTTGAAAGAAGATTAATTAGGAAATAGTTTAGTAGTATGTTACAAATCCTACACATTAAGCTATGTGGCTCTAGTTTTCATGACTTAAATATACACTCGCACACGTACTAAAACAGTATTTATTTGATGTAATGCCACAAATAAACACTTCATAGAACTAAGCATTATTCAGCCCAATTTATAAAATAAGAGCGACAAGTGACAACTAATGGAATCTCATGGAGTGATGTGAGGCAGAAAAGGATGAAGGCCAGTAAATCAGTGCTGACCGGGATCGTACCAAGGTTGAACGAAAAATTGGCAATGGATCACTTACCTCATCTCCATCTCGTCCGGGATCACCACGTTCACCTTTCAAACCTTTTGGACCGGCTGGACCTTTTGCACCAGGTACACCATTGGGACCGGGTGGACCCGGTGGGCCAATCTCACCGGCCAAACCTGGATTACCTGGTTCACCATCTCGACCGGGTTTTCCATCGGCTCCGGGTGGACCGGGTGGACCCATCGGACCGGGAACTCCGGGATCACCGTGTTTTCCAACAGGTCCAGCTAAACCCTGAGGACCAGGAGGACCATCTACACCAGGTGGGCCGGGCGGTCCTCGTTCTCCTTGGACTCCCATGGCACCGATCCGGTATGTGGTCTCTCCGAATGGGATGGGACCTTTGACCTGTATGTTTAACAGATCGGAATAAACCGGTGAAAAATATTAAATTCGAGAACGCAATAGAAACTTCAAATTTTAGCGTCCCTCAAAAGTGCTTCAGTTTGGGGGTAGATAAATTTTATCGTAAAAATTTTAGATTTATCTGATCAAGAGTCCCAATAATTTTCTTATTCCGTTTATTCTATCTAGATAATTGTACGTAGACTAACGAAGGTTATCTGATTTTGAACCCTACTGATCATTTTCTGTTCTGCTACTCAAAAGTAGAATGGATCAACAAAACACAAGGAGATATCATTATTTTCATCTGCAAACGAATCATCATATTTCAGATTAATTTTCTGATATACGCAAATGGAAGAGTTCGTTCCACTGTCCTGCCTAGCACAATTTCCTCTGAAATTGTAGTGAACATATTTTCACGTTTGCAAAGCCGCTAAAACTTCTACCCTAAGAACCGACGCTGGGAGGCGCATACATGAGAGCGCAATTGAGAGAAGTAACTCTGATTCCAAAACAATGGTTTGTGTGATTTTGATCATTACAGTCAGTCACGATCAAATGCACTCTGGCAATTCACGATTAATTCTACTGCGAAGAAACATTTCTATCAAACCTATGTGATTACCAATCCCTCTGAAAACATGTATTGTCCTCTTTCGGGATAACCGGGCTCTGCATTTCGAAGCAGAGAATTCTACCAAATCGACCGCCTATGAAAGCTCTCTTTGACCAATACAAAGTAGCATTAAATTTACATAAATTGCCACCAACTACAACGGGATCTGTGCAAAGATTGTGTACACAAAAAGTGTAGCAATTTCATTACCGAGCAATATAACCGACTAATATTCATGCTATCCTTTAGTGCAGACTGATATCACACCCTAATGTAGTAAATAGAATGAATTGGGGATAATCTCATAATCACATAAAACAATCGATGTATCTCATTTTGCTTTATCTCATTGGTGCATGTTTTTCTGTCTTGGGACGGGGTGACTTACACTACTGCTGGGAGGTTCTTCATTCTGTCGTTTCACTCGACGAACACGTTCGCCTGAAATAGAAATTTACTCAAAGTTAAATAATATAAATGATACATGCTTCTAACCTGATCGATGTCCTCCTAATAAGCATGCACTAATTTGGACGAACTATGGGAACGACAGGGTCACTAAAGTTGAAACGATGAAGAATGAAGTCATGAGAAAACTCTCTACTATTTCATTTTAATCAAAACAGCAATCTATAGGAGTCTGATTTTTCGAGTACTTAGTTAAAACGCATCCTTGCTCACTGATTTTGTGCATCTATCAGTGCCTGAAGCCTCAACATCATCAAGTCTCCTGTGTATGTCGAACTCAGGCCCTGTGGATGCAGTCGGACTTAGGTCTACTATTGTTACCGAGCCCCAGATAACAAATGCAATCCAGTGAGTTTGGCAACAGTAACGTTCACACGATTAGGCTATCTGTAATTTGATCATCATGGTATCCATCACAACTCTGATGTAGCATGGTGAATAAGTATGACAAAAGCGGTTATCTAACCAGTCCCACTACGTACACAATTCCATTGTGATTTTCACACAGTCTTCTGGAATTGGTTAGATGAGAATTACTTACACATCATTTTTAGTCAAGCAATGCTTTATGTTTCCTAATATATTTCATATCACACATTTGCATGGATTCGTGCATTTCACATAGAGTCGTATCAACTTGCATTGGGCTATTTTCAACAACACATATATGAATAATAGCAAATATCATGGTCTATATCAAATTCACCGATAATCTAACGCACATCTCCCTCATGAATTAGCATCAGTAAACACTAATGTGAGATTCACTGGCTTGCCATAAAAGATAGTGAACACTTACCACTGACCAGGGTGAATCCAAATAGAATAACTGAACAGAGGAATAGGAATAAGAGATTACGATACATTGTACACTTGAGTCGTATCATGGTTCAATTCTGTGCACGACGGGAATTGTTGAGCGGGACAGAAGCGACCAGGGATAGAGTTCGGAACCGCAACAACAGCGGGCTGTTAGTTCGCGCCGATCGCCAACACGTAGCTGGAACCGGCGCAAACAGACGGGCACTCGTTAGCTCGTGTTGTGGACGCTAGACCACGGCGTCCCTCAACTAGTAGGCTTTGCGCTGACCAAATTGTATGCCCATGAAACTGAAGCGTGCGCGCGTGTGTGTTCGCGTATGTGCCCTAATGTGTCTGTCTCTGTGTGCGGGCGTATAGACATGCAAGCAACCTTGGACAAACGAACGTACACGCGGGCACAGACACACAAACACCCAGGCACACCAATGCACAAATGTAGGACAAGAACACACGAAACAAGCACAGGGGAAGATGAGCTTTCGAACGGCAAGTGGGTGGTTGGGCAAGGGGTTAATGCCGATAGTAGTTTCACAATCCCTGAGCGACCCACCTCCACCGGTTCCTCATTCGCCAAAGTCCTAGAACTACGCAATCCAAGACATTTTGTCAGTCTAAAACCATCGAACAATGACTGCACAAATTATCGATTCATCCGGACAGACTGGTATCCCGGTAGCTGCATGTGTCTGCATGCGGACTTCATGCGTCCTACTTGTTTGCATGCACCGGATGAAGGGAGGGAGGGGGGCGAATGGGCCACGCAACAGCGACAGATATCCATGTCCAAAATCAGACCAGGATCCATCTACCACTTACCCACACCACCATCTTCTATGGAACACTGCAATCACCGGTGCTTGTTCCTCTCCAACAAACAGGACATGGAGAGGTTAGATTTACTGGGTACTGAAAAACGCGTGCTACGACCATAGGGGCAACAACGGCGTGAAAGTAATTTCCAAGACTACTTGCTGGAAGTCATCGATTTTGTTTGCATGGGGAATAGTGAACGATTTCCTGTGCAACACAAGATCTGGTTTAGATTGCCGTCATTCGGCCATGGATCTAAGCCGGTGCTTGAATGTGCCCTTGCATACATGTGTGTGTGTATGTGTGGTTCCTTGGATGTGCACACGCGTGTCTGCATTTGAGCCCACTGAGCCATCCGATTTTTTGTGTGAGTTATTCGAGTGCCTGCCTACCTGCCTGCCTGTCTGATGCCGTAATGGCAACGTTTGGAACAAAGCCGATCGCAAATTCGACTTTTTCACCATTTGGAAATTTGCTTGCGTAGTGGTGATGGGGGCGGGTTACATTACGCATTCCGGACGGCCATTCTTGTGCACAGTTGAATCGAGAATGTGAACTGTTCGAGATAGCCATTTTCAATCATGATCTTACGAGTGCATTACCTATCTGGAAAGTTCCTCTAATCACTTGTCTGGTTCAATCAGTACTGTAGAAGAACAAAGAAGAAACAGGTCAAGGGAATGGGATCAGCGCAGATATCGGTACAAAAGTAAACACATAGTGTATCGCAAATTCAGTTAGAAATGATGATTTTGGTGTGATTAATTCTTTTACAGCTTTGTTAGCCTGAGAATTGCTTAATCAGTAAATCAGTGCAGGAATTTTTATCTCACCATCGGATTCAAACAACCATTCACTTTGTTTGGTGAATATATGAAAACCAATGTGGTTACATGAAGTTTGGACGTTTCTTCCAAGTTTTATATGTTACATTGTATGGGTGTACTTAGAAATTTGTAATGGTAATGCTTTAAAGTGTGAGGCGTGCAAAGTAATCCGAAGTTTCACTCAACCATCCACAGTCGTTACAAATACAACTCCAAGCAGAAGAGAGCAACAGTTTGATTTGTCCACGCGGAGTGTGAGTTCTAATATCTCTAAATTATAGGATTTAGACAATGAGGATATCATTTTTAGGATCACCGCATCGGAATTTGAGTTAAAGTTTTACAATGACCGTCTGAAATCCAGGTGAAGTTGGAAAGCGATTTCACTAGGGATGCTTAATTTTGTCAGTATTTGTTTTGATAAGGTATCATTAACCCACCGATCTACTTGCTCACTGACAACCATATGGGTTGCGACTAGCCTCGCGTTTACGGTATGGCATCTGGTCTCCAGATTACGGAGTAAAATTTTTCAGTCATGTGAAGTTTCTCAAATTTTCTGGAACAGTTCTTTCGATCCAAATAGAGATCTAAGTTAATCACCTGGAAACAAACCAATCAATAATTATTTCCAATTATCCAAATGTATAAGAAGAAAACAGCTCTAAAATCTTTGCATGTGTTTTAATTAGAATGGAAGGGGTACCGTTCCAATTCTTAACTTGTGAAATGTCTTGTATTCGAAAAGGGGCTTCTTGGGGATGCATAAACGACAGATGTGATCATTTCTGGAGTGAGGATTTCTTTCTGGAGACAGGTTGTCTTCATCGCATAAAGCTTCTATAAATGTAATAAAATTGTTTCCGGTTTTGGCAGACAGGTAAATTACTAAATCGAAAACTCAATGTGTTTTCCTGCACACCGGCAATTGATCAGCGAGGATGTAATGTGTACTGTGGTTGTCATGATGCATTAAAATAAGCCTGGATTAGAAAAAATGGCGAAATTTTATCACTTATTTTACTATGTTCGGAGACCCAAAAATATGTTAAAGTGACGATGCAATCCGCGATTAAGTGAAGAATAAACTTGAAAAAGAACTAAGCAACTATAGATCGTGACGTTCAGGTTCAATCAAACTCGATTGCGTTGCAGTGACTACACTCAATTTCACTGTGAGATACGAGACTATTCAGCTGCGACCAATCGCTCATGAGAACCCGACACATTCCGTGACTAACAACACCTGGATTAGGGCTATTTAATCCCGAACTATTCACTGGATAATCTATATGTAGAGTGTGCGGACTACTTTTAGGGCCGCCCAGTTTTTTCACTTGACTTAATAAGCTTTACACATACAAAATATTTTTTACCTATTGTAAGATAAACTCCCTGTAAGTTATAAAAACTTAAACAATTCTGATACCTAATGCAATGTTTTCAAGTGATATAAAATACGTTCCCGGGGTACAAAAGGTGAATAAAGTCTCCGAAACTTAAGGGAAGATAAACCCCTCTATTAGTGTTTTGTTGTATAAAAGAGGCTTCACATGTCTTTTATAAACGCTTTTAAAACATGCATCACCGGAATTCCTGGGAATTAAATCAAGGATACGGTCTGACTTATCCGGTGATTGCATTCCCCCGAACAGCAGTCAATTTTTGTACGGTAGAAAGTGTTATTGAAGGCTCAGTTCTGGATGGAAGTTTTATGATTGTAATACCCCTCACGGATGACTGGAATAAGATGATCAGTAAGAATTTTAAGGTATAGTCGTGCCGTCTGAATCCCTCACGTCATTCTAAATGGAGAGTCCCCGCCATCGAAAGGCGCAACACGTACCATTACAGAATCCCTTGCACACACATAAACACACATACACACTTACACGATAACTGCGTATATTGATTATCGCCCATTGCTTCTTTTACATCGTGTGAATAATAAGCCGGTTCATCCAGATCAAACGAATCTAAAGTCTTTAATGACCGAAAATCAGTCTGTCTCATTCCGTACTCCACATCAGACGGTTCTCTGTCCATTGCTTTCTTATTTGCATCTAATCCTGAATTAGTTAAGGCACATTTCTCTTCCTTTTGTGCCACAGATTCGAAGACTTTAGGCACAGCTGTTGCTTTACTCGAACATGCACAACTAGACATCGCTTTCATCCCAGTTTACTATCTGGTAAACGGCGGTCCATACTACTCCTATTTGTGGGTTCACATATATTTTTTCTTTAAATTACGGTTTTCTCAGGACTTAATTAGCATCATTGGTGAGAAGTTTACGGACTGTCCCTTTATAGAAAAAATCATTTTATTTTGAGGATTTGCCCGGTGCTTCCCATCAGCTTGTAGAGTGATACGTGCACATGGTGGTGGTCTAAGTAAGCTTTAATCCAGTTCACGTAAATTGGTCCTAGACCTGTTGTACTAAGCCTTTGTAGTGTGATTTACATTTCTAAACGTACGCTGAGTTTTACCTTTGAGCTTGAACCCAACAGAAGATGTCGAAATAATGTTTATTCGCTTCCTTGATAGCTGTTTCTTCACCATACCCAAGCCGGCCTTTTCGGTCTTTCAAACACTTTTCCTCCGATACAATGACTTCAACATAGATGTATTCAGAACTATCCATGAATCCTTTTTTCCAACGACGTTCACTGTCTGCTTTCCAAAAATGATGAACTTAGGTGTGATGAAAATCTGGGTATAATTATAATTGCGCTGTGGAGTAAATAAAGAAAAAACTTGGATAACTAACCGAGTGAAGGCAGTAGAATGGTGGTAAGCAAGGAGAGCAAAGTGGTTTCGGAGAATAAAAGTGAAAATCGGAACCTAGTATTCACCAGCGAAGGTAGCAGCCGAAATACCGATTACATTATTCGGACGGGAATTAGCGTAGAAAAAATTTTACGTGAAGTAATTAGGAAACGTCCTACAAGAAAAGGGTACCATTCATTGCGCCATGTCAAACGGTGGCACGGTGGTAACGTCACAAAATTATCACCCCGGGGGACGAATGTTCGAATCCCACCACCACCATCTGACTCCCAATTGCTTGTGTGTTGTATGATAACCCTTTGATTGGCGGCCTCGCCCTTTCTGAAAATTGTATTATTGTGTATTCAATAGAAAAGGAAGAAAAATGCAAAAAACGTTTCTTCGGATGCCTCATAAACGGTCGCTCAGTGAGCTCCAAAACCAAAACAAAAGCTTTGTTTTCCACTGCCTAACTATCTATCTATCTATCTGCGGTAGCGCTCGAGAATTGGGTGGGTTCAACTTCTGGCAATGGCTCTCCACACAAAATACCACACATATCTGTGGACAGCATTGTGACGTGGCGAGTATGGTCCGGCACCGAATATGGCTATGGTCCCTTGTCGAAATATATTGTTTGGCAAGGTTTTCCAGAAGGGGCGATTTAACTAAATACTGGCCACCGGATCACCTGAAATAGCACTGCTACTTTGAAGTCCGCGCTTGGATGCGCAAAGGCTAGAGTGCACCCTCAAACAAGGCCCACACTGGGCCGGGCGACCAAGTAGTAAAATAGCCCACAATGCATACAATGATACAATGTCCTATATATCTATCTATCTGTCTATCTTTCTATCTGTCGACCTATCCACCTACCTAGCTTCTATGTATAGTGGTACTCATTATCAAAAGAACCATCCTTCTCTTTCAATGACAGCTCAAAAACCATCCCAGTTTGTTGATCAGATTTTTCGATAAATTGGGTCAGTCGCGAAACAGTAATAACACCATTGGATTATAAGGTTGAATTCTATTGGCGCGAGTAATACTAACGCAATTTGGCGGCCTATTTCACTTTTACACACGTTTGCCAGAAACGCCGACAATTTCGAATGACTTTTCTCCGTCAGCCATGAATCCCATTGTGACTGATTTGGCCAGGAAAGTAACTAAACACTTACAATCTATGTCCCGTTCGTTCTTGATTGCGTCCCACTGTGTAGCATTTTATTTATTTGGGATTCGATAGTTCACTCTCACCCGCGAACCCAGCTACGCATGGGCTTCATTCTGGCTCCCGTTAACTCGGTCATCCAAGTAAATATGGAGAAGATTAGTTGCACACTATTTCCATAATTATACAATATGTGAATCCGATCTTATCTCATGACATTCACAATGTCAATTTGGTCACATTAGTAATTTTTCAGTTCTGATAAGAAATTCGATGTAGAGAGTCATGAAACTGGTGAAGACAGTATCTTTGAATCTGTCCCCGTGGGGTCAGTGAACATGCTCTTAAAATGCGAAATAAAAAGGACTATGGGAACTAGCCACGAAATACATTCCACAGTTTGATGTCATACGAGAACTCTCATAGGCTTCAATAAAGATAAGCCTTGATTTGAATGTAAAACTGCACGAATGTAGTCATGTCAAGTCAGTAGCAGCTTTATGCACCCAGAGGGGGGATTTTTAGCGGTTTCAACCACATTTCTGCATGCAAATTTACGAAATCAAACACAATGAAACTGAAATTGCCAGATATAATCTTTGTCAATGAAGCAGTCGATCACGTAATTCCGTGGAAACATTTTTCTTATCAACAAATCGACTTGCAAGATATGGTAAAACATAATTACGGTATGAAGAGGTACGCATAATTTTAATTGCGTGGATGATGTAAATACAACTTTTGAAAGTTCATTTTGTAATGAGAGGTGAGTGTTTGAGAGTATTTTGGAAAGAAAGTCTTCACATGCTTGTAGGTGTCCGCTAATTATAAGGTCTTCCAGTGTATCTCCAGAGATGCCATTACATATATCAGGTGTGTGCTATGGACCTTACCAGTAAGCACGTCTTTTTAACAGACCGGGGCAATTCACAGGGGAGCAGTGCAACCAATGGGGGAGCATGCATGCATTTAAAAATCTAACAACCAACTTGTAGGAAACAGAAAGTATTTTCATTCGAGGTGAGAAATATGCCAACTTTCTAACTTTATAGAATGTGTTCTTAACGTGCAGGAACCATGATAAATTCTGCAATATTGTGACACTAGTATATTTTCCCGTTGTTGATGTCGGTATGAGTTTCATGATTGTCAGAAAGAGAAGGAAACCTCCTGGATGAGGGCTAAGTATGATTCATAGGCAAACAGAAAAAAACGACCTCCTTAGATTTTGAAGCATTCAATGGAAAGGAGTGGAATAGGAACCAATTCACAACATCGTTTAGCTGGCTTTGAATTTATGATACCTATTCAGTGGTGGATCAAAGTCAAAGTCAAAGTTTGATTATGGGAAATACTTACAACCGGTTGCTTTTCTTGTCCCATTGGGTTCAGCTTAAATGAATCAATTTACTTACGGCTCACAGAAAGATGAATGAAATATGAATACCACAAATTATCTTTGTTTCATGCACTGCTACGGATGTCGAAATTTAAGACTTGTCAAAGTTTCGTTCAGTTTGCGCTTGAAAGAATCAATTGTGGGCGCAGAAACAACATGAGGTTGTAGAGAACTCTAAATACTGCACACTTTGCTGGCAAATGAGTGAAGTCAGCATTCTAGTCAACATTTTTGGAGCACCAATTTAAATGAGTACTCCCTGAGATGAGTATTGGGCAACAAGGCGAACAGTGAACTACATGGGTGATCAGGGTGTTTCGCATCTTAAAACAACCTCGTTCGGGTATTTGCAGACAATGAATGTCGAACGATTGGGAAGTTTTTTATATAAATTGAAAAGAAAAAGGAGGAAAATTGCACCCTGTAGAACACCAGAAGAGACCCGGTGAGAATAGTAGTTCTTGCTGTTTAGGTCGGAGAAATGCCTTTCATGAAATGGACACAAGGAACAAAATAAGTTATCTAAAGTGTCAGTTAGTCCACCTAGATAGTGCTTGCAACGCAGTCTCATTTTTCTTCAATTTTCTCGTGAACGGGATCATAAAAATTTGATGTGCTGTGTTTTTCGTGTGTCGTGACCGTATAGGGCTAGTGCGAGCATTTGAAATTGAAACTAGCAAAGTAGATTTTATCCCGGACAGTGTTAACCAAAGAACGCGAAACGCTTACAGAGCATTGCCAGGACATTAACCAAAAGTGGCATGACGTAGCTCATTTCGTGGGCGGAATAAGTCACACGCACACAGTGAATTGAACAGTATGCTCTCGGACAAGATTCGTAACATGATCGAAGCTCTGGTGGTTAATGGAGTCAAACCGTTCGTTTCCAATCGCATTCTCAGAAGTATACGAATGCCGCACGGTTGATGGATGTTTGGTTTGGAGCGGAGAGAAATAGTTGTATACAACGGCTCAGAAATCAGTGTAAGTAAGACTGACGGGAAAATTTACAGCTCAAAGAAAGGATACAATTCGTTTAAAATCTAAGAAGATATATGGATTGTGAAGATAAATCTTCAAGATGACAAAAAGTCGCTTCTAGATGTTGCTTTTAACTGGATAACACGTTTCAGTGGTTCATGCCGTTTTCCTTTGGGGAACAAAAAGCGTCATGAGTAGCAACAAATCTGAGGCAAAGAAAGACGAGAGCGGTATGTATGCATGTTGCAAACTTAGACAGTTTCGTCAAAAAGCAGGTTAGATGAGAGGCGGAATTGAAAAACGCTCAACTTATTCGGTCTCGATAGATTAATTTAGTTTTGGAAAGATGTGTGGAAGAGCGACCTTGAGTTCGGTCGTCGAACATTCGAAGGCAGCTCTAGTAAGAATTCGGTTCTTATTTTGGCGGAGCAAATGATGACACGATTATCGAAGAAAGTCACACAACCGGTTCACATTTCAGAAGTTTTAATGGATCTCTTATTCGCGCAATTTCAGAAGACTGATAGAAGTAAACATCTTTCCGGCAAAACAGTCTCACCAAACACGAAGTTTACGTCATTGAAGTGTAACTAAGGTGTTGAAACACCAAAATCGTTGATTGCCCCACGTATGGTCATGATTTGAATCCCAGTAAAGTGTTTGGGTTTTTGGTGAGGCGAATTTATCCAAACGGTAGACTTCTCAGTGATATTCACGGGAATCGTTCTCGAGCGGAAAGGCAAGCTTGAAAGGATCTGAAATTGTACTGTCTGTATGCCTTTTCGCCGTCGAGCAATTGAAGTTGTAGTATTCAATCAAGATATGAGTATTTTTATCATTCGG